AAGTGTTGCAACACTTTGTAATAACGGGAGCATTTGTTTACTCGAAATGCTACCTTCCCTATCACTGGTTTTTATCATGTTACTATTTCTAGTTATGTAGTTATTTGTGCTGGTGTATGCAGGCTTTTACTTGGAAAATTGGCATAGCACTGCAGCTATTTACACTTTTATATCGTAAAACTGATGCAGTGCAATATAGTAATGTGCGCACATGCAGTGGCGTAGACAGGTCCTCAGTTAGGAAATTGCATCAAAAAGGTGATACTTTCAACAAAATCCCCGGACCCCCCCCCCCCAAACAGGAGGGGGACATGCCCTGAAGGAGGAAAAATCCTGATATTCTATGATAAAGATGTCCAAAATTGATTGCTATTTAGATTGCAACTTTTTAACAATTCCACACAGTGGGAGGGGGACACCCCCCCCCCCGGGCGCTTCGTGCCCTTGAGCTTGCATGATTCGACCCCCCCCTCCTAGAATTTTCTTCTGGATCCGCCACTAATTGTGTGAGTGGGGGGAAGGGGGTTGCGTGTTATTAAACCTCTGGGATCCAAAGAAAAAAATTATTACCCTAGAATTCACAAAATTGCACTTACAATATCAATTTTTTTAAATTCCCTCAAAAACGGCCATCTTAAAGGTTCTAAATTGCTAAAATCCAAGAGCTTTTCCGCTCGCAGTGTGCGCTCATCGCGCACACTCTTCATATACATTGCAATGGAAGTAACAGCGAAATCATCCCCCCACTTATTGTGATGAAGATTGTTTAATAGTGCTGCCTCATAGTGCACAGATTTGGTAGTAAGTATTTTAGTCTTTGGTGTCCCCAAAGGTAAAAATACTCAACTCAACAGTGATGCCCCCTACTTTCAGGAAGAAAATGGGGAAAAATTTAAGATTTTACAAACAATAAATACTGGATATTTATCTACAAATCCGTCATCGCTATTCATACTTTCCTAATGTATTATTACAGAAATGGAACGTGACATACACCTACTGTAAAATGGCTGTAACTCGTTCCAAGAATAAAATTATTTTACTGAAACTCAGACGGTTCATTTTGGACGCATTCCCCATATAAGATTTTGTTTCAAAATCCCCAGTCTTATTACTGCTCACGAAAGTTAAATCCTGGCTTTATTCAAAATTAGAATAGACCTATTGAGAGTTGGGATATTGCATTTTCACGTTGAATAGAAAAATTCCATTTCATCTTGCTTTTAGGTGGGGGGGATGGGGGTGCTGAGACCCGACCGGAAGTATATTCCCGATTTCGTATAAGGGGTGAAAATATGCACTTTTTTTGGTTCAAATCTGGTTGTTTTTCTCATATTTTTTGGTAGTTTTAACGTTCTCAGTAAAATATACGTTTTATCAAAATTTCAGGGGGAGATGATTCCAGTGCTCTAGTCGTCAACGGGGGTTTGGTAGCACGGGGCGGTCGCCCCCCCCCCCTAGAATTTTCAGGGCAAAGGTATTTTAGCCTAAGTAAGTCTGCACTGGTAACCCCAGTGAGGACATGTACATAGCGATGAAAGCCACCCCAGCGGGGGGATGGGGGTATATATGGGGGTCCCCCTGCTATCTACGCCCCTGTCAGATAAACTCAAGTTTGACTTTTGATATGCATACAAATATTCATAATCATAATCTTTGTTAGCAGTACTCTACAGGTGCCGCGGAACAATTTTTGAAGTGGGGGTGCTCAATTTGTTACGCTCGACAGTCGCCAATGCACGTTTTCGAGGAGGGTGCATGGTAAGAAACAGGCGGGGGTATGCTGGTTCTTCCCCAGAAAATTTTGAATCCCCCATTTTCCTCCTGAAAGTAGGGGGGTGATTGTACACGCCATCCCCCCCCACGTCAATAAGTGGGGGGATGCATTCCCCCCATCCCCCCGCTATCTACGCCCCTGATATATAGTGTAGACGCGTGTTTGCGCTACGATGTGGAATTCTGTAATAGACTACAGAGAGAGATAAGAGAAGACAAGAAGTAACGTTCACTAGTGCTTTATATCTATATCTCTAATACAATACATAGAGTCTCAGTGCGCTAACGAATAGAAAAGCATTACAGTGCATAGTAACCGTATCACGCAACTTACACCTTTCTCAAACTACGTCTCGACAGAAGAAGCCCCGAGCAGTCGACCGCTTCCTCTTTTATACGGTGCGCTCCAGTCCCGCGATCACGTTTCTTCCCCTACGTCACAGATCTCTTTTAGCTCCCAACTCTGACCAACCGGCCAACCGACCCTCCCGAATACGGCAGAGTGCGGGTTCCTACCGCTATCTCCCGCTACCTAATATGGTTGCGGGACGCGTGATGCGCACTTGGAACAGCGCCACGGCCAATTCGGACCATGGTGTCAACACGGCCATCTATCGGTCAGCACCGTTATCCATGGGTCAGCCCGTGCGCGGCCGCCTGTCACACTCCGGAGATTCATGACTGCGATTCCCAGCCTAGCTGGCGCCATATCGAGTCGCTCTCTTTGATCTTCGTGCCGACCGCTGACTCGCCGCTCCTGTGTCATGCATCACCCCAACCTTATTCTCGCATCCGCCATCACCTTCCCCGGCGTGTGGCCTTTGCCCGCTTACAATAGTGTATGCTATATATCTGTTAGCCGTTGCTGCGATTGTTGTAATAGGCCTACGACATAGTATAGGAATAATTGGTATAGGAAAATACCATGGTGACAACAAATATCGAAAGATAGAAAGCACATACTACATTACACATCGACAATGTGCGACAATATATGTGAAAATGTGGATAAATACTTTCAAGTCTCTTGAATCTCTTTTAGAATGTTTACTCCTAATGTTAGTTATAGACGTGTGGTGAGTCGCTTCGTTGAACCAGTCCATGTTTATACTTTTTCTTTGGTAGTGTCTCCGTGTGGTTAACATTCGGGAGCCATCCAATTTACACGATTTATGCTCCTTCTTCGGAAGGTTGGAAATTTATATTTTACGATATAATAGCAATTTCCGGCGCGGCATCAGATCCGCCTTCAAATAGCAAGTAAAAGGCTACTGGGAGCGTGTACAGAATGAAAGATAGACAAAATAACAATAAAAACGATCTTACATTAAAATAAATCGTCGTTTCAATTAAAGACGAGCATTTATTTCCTTAGTTCTCGGTTGATACATGCATGTATCTACTATGCTAGTGGTGTATCTTCTCCTACGTGTCCTACGTCTGCTCACTGATGCCTTTCTAGCGTTGCTCCACCTCTGATAACAACTTCTACGCCCTAAGCTTATGGACTTGCTAATCCTGTGCCAACATTGCTATCCGTATCCTGCTAAACATAGGCATGTGCACCTCGGTGATCCCTTGGGTAAATCAGATAACTGGGATAAGAGTGATTTATGATTACAAAAGCAAGAATAATCTATAGCGTAAAGAGAAAGCTTTCCAACTACGACCTAGTATACCTTGCGACCTCTCGTATTGAAGTTAGCTCACAGCAACAGCTCCGTCCTAGTCCGACCGCAGCCTGAGACGGGCACAGGCTAGGAGGCAAGAAACACCCGGGTTCCCGGCGACCGGATCACCTCACCTCAGTCAGTTTACAACATGGTTGACGACGTCACTCAGAATATCCACGGATCGTCGGCGGCGAGCGAAAATCGGAAGTCGTCGGATCGGTCGTGCGGGATGCGCTGCTACCCGGCGTGTCTGCAGCCGTGCGCCGACATCAAGCTGTTCGTGCTGGCCCTCAGCAGCCTCTTCATTTTCATGGGTTCGTTCTTCGCCTACCGCATCTCCGTTCTATCGACGCTCGAGAAGCGATTCGAGTTTCCGAGCAAGACAGCCGGAATGCTGCTCATCTTTGAAGACATGACGCAAGCCGTCATCGCCATCGGCGGCAGCCACTTCGGAGGCAGATCGCACCGGCCGCGCATCATCGCTCTGCTGTCGGCAGTCTTCGCGCTCGGCGTGTTTCTGACGTCGGTGCCGCACTACATCTACGGCGGCGGCACGTACGTGGAGCGGGAGTCAGACACGGGCCTGAATCTGTCGGCGTGGCGCGACACGTGCGTCGGCGTCGCCGCCCCGGACACGTGCGACGACAATCGGCAGACAAACAAGATGGCGATTGGCATCATCATCATAGGACAGCTGATTTTGGGGATCGGTAACTCCAGCATATTTTCGCTGGGGTCCAGCTACGTTGATGATAACGTCGACCCCGCCAACGCGGCATTCTACCTAGGTATTGATGTCTAATCACTCAAGAATGCACGTCTCTATATACCTATCTAATAATTATTCAAGAATACACGACTCACTATGCCCCATCTTTCTTTATTACACAATAGTAAATCAATGTCTTTCACGTATTCTTATTATTGGACATTTTCATTAGTCGTCAAGATTTCATGACGGTTTTAGTTGTGAGGTGTGCCAAAGTTAACATCACGTTCACTAAGAGATGGGTTGTTTTTAGCCTGACATATGAACAAAAGATATCATAACTTTTGACGTATCTAATTTTTAGGCATAACATACACCTTGCGACTATTTGGACCTGCGCTCGGATTCGTAATCGGAAGCGTATTTACTCGAATATATGTCACACTATCAGGTTAGTTTCACTCTACTCGTTCATATACTATTGTCCGATCGTAGCTTGTGAAATAAATTATGAATTATGAAATATTATCGCTTATGCATAGCTAGAGCTTATCTACGTTATATCCACCCAAACTGCATCAATTCGCCTACCTTTACAGGCTGTCTAAATGTTGTTTTCTACGTATTTTCCCCAGCGTACACCATGGCTGAATAGAACTGTAAACTCGTCGGTCTACCAGCGATTCCATTATCAGCATTGCTAGTTGTTGGTTTCGAGCAATTATCGTGTAGATTAGAGGTTCCCAACCCTCCTCAGGCTATTAACCTGTCTTAGATAATAACAGTTTGTGATTCCTTTCGTTATTTTTATATTATAAATCATATACCTCACCTTAGAGATCATATTCGCTCGAATTTGGCAGAAACGAACCTTACGCCAAGCGACCCAGCCTGGATCGGCGCATGGTGGTTAGGGTTTCTGCTGATTGCCGTGTTGCTGTGGATCCTGGCCATACCGATGGCCATGTTCCCGAAGCACTTAGCAAATAGCGCCCACCAGCGTGATTCTAGGGTCGTACACGATGACCGTGGAAATTGTCAGCTAATGACGGACGTCGCGGCCGATGACAAAACGAAGAAGAAATCGTTTGGTGTCCATTCAAAAGGTATAAGGCTATATTAATCTACGAAATAGAGGAGGAATAAGACCTGGCCTGATGCAATATATTCAATCAGAGTTACCTTAATTTAGCGATAAATCCGAACATTTACTGACGCGATAGTTTCGTATACAATGTCAGAAGAATTATTCAAGTGTTAAATTTAACTATAAGTTTTGACGGTGTTATTACAGGAATTCTACAAACGTGGAGTATTATTATACTCGCCACTAGGGCTGCAGCCTGTAAGGGGGGGTGGGCAAGGGGGGCAGCTGCCTCCTTAGATTTTAGAGAAAAATTGAAAAATAAGTTCAGCTAATAATCGTAAATAACGCTAACGTGATTTTGTGGTCACTTATTCGTGAAGGATTTGTCTCAGACCCACATCTACCACACTACGGACGTTGATCAAGAACTGCGCCCGCCCCTCATCATTACACAGCTGAGTCATAAAATTTTGCCCCCTCCCCCCTTAGGAATTTGCTCAGCCTACGGCCCTGCTCGCAACAAATTAAACGTAGAGTACGTATTATATTCGCAACCGTTTCAGGATTAGTGGCATCACTTCGAAGACTCCTGACGAATAGGACTTACATCTTGGTGCTATTCGGCGCCATTTTTGACGTCTATATAATCGTCTGCTACTTTATCTTTCTACCGAAATATTTGGAAGCACAGTTTCGTATACCCGCTCACAAGGCGAGTATGTACACAGGTAAGTAGGTTGTACGTGATCATAATTATCAGGAGTAAATACAATCAAAACTTCAAAAATCATATCACGGCGTGAGATCAGATAGTTTCGCTTGTTTGCATTGAGATTTGCATTTTTATATTCACGTTCAGGAAACTATTTAAACTGTTAGTAAATTAATATCTGTTAGCGCATATATTACAAAAACGATTTTAGTAGTTATTTGTAGAATTTTGAATTTTTACATACACGTACGCGGTGTATCTCTAGTCGTTTATTCATATAGCTGCTGGTAATGATGCACGTTCACATCGTCAAACACGACAACAGTTAGAAGACTTCGTGTTGTACCTTGCAGGAGTCATGGGTCTCATGTCCTCGTGCCTTGGCATATTGCTGAGCGCCTATTTTATGAAGAAGGCCAAGATACAACCGAAAGGCGCCATCGCCATGATTTTATTCGGCAACGTCATCACCATAACGTCGCTCGTTGTTTTCACCTTTCTTGGTTGCGACAATGTGGACTTCGCCGGTGGACAGCTAACGGACTCTGGGTTAGTTTTCTAAATTAGTGACTATAGAGCACGTGTGAGAGCAACGTCCGCATACGATGACAGATGTAGGCTACTGCACGCTAAACTGTGCAAGATTGTATCCGACCAAAAACACAAAGCAAATATTTATTAATAAGATACAGATCACATAAGTACGTGCACCTAGCACGGCTGATATATGAGAAACGAAGGAAGAAGTAAATGCTATCAAGGCGATCAAAGGGCATTTAGTTACTATCTTCTAATCTATCATAAACAACTCTAGAAAATATGTGACCCGCTCCAGCAAAACCAGGATTAAGTAGGAAATTCTACAAATTGAGTTATGTGCATGTCTGAATAGATCATTTAATTACCTTTAAAATGATATATAATATTTGGCTATATCTAAAGAATTGACCGATCTACAGCAATTTGAAGATCGGAAACCGTCTTATTCCGGAATATGCAGCTTTTGAGATAAAGCGTTCCGGGTAAGGGGCCCAGTCGGAGTGAGCGGTCAGAGGTCCTTCAAATTATTTTTTTTTTAATTAAAAATGACCATAATAATCTAGAGATATCTGAACCTATATATCCCAAATTAAATATGCACTTAGGAACTTATTTTTGTAAAAATCTTATTTTTGTCCAGGTAGGCCATTTTCAGCATTAACATGTGTTCGTGCTCATTACTCAAAACAATGACTTGCGACTTAGTCCGTATTATGCTGGAGCGGGTCACATATGTCTTAATTTATGCACAACATTTCATACGCAATATTATATATGACATCTTAGACTTATGGTGTACGTCGTAACTACTTGTAGTGCTAGTTATATGCCCACATTATACGCCCCAAATATATCCCTAATATGGCAATTATCTTGTCAAGTAATAATTAATGTTCTAAACCACATCATGGCTAAGCTATCATATTTTAATAAATATAAACGAATATACGCGCAATAGGATTCAGGCGTGAGTAGACACGATGTTGATAGGCCTACTGTTTCGCTGACAAGAACGCGCTAAGGAAAGGGTCAAGCCTGCTACATTACATAGCAGTATAGATATGAGATGTTCACACAAATCTAGTAAATGAGATGATTGCATTTTATCACAACCTACGACTACTAGCTCGTTATATAAGTTCTTGTTCGTAATAGTTGATTATTGAACACTAGCATGTTTACTGCAGGTATGACCTGACCAACAACTGCAGTATGTCATGCGAGTGTGACCGCACGAGCTATGCGCCCGTCTGCGGTGCCGATGGCATAACGTATTTCTCCGGCTGCTACGCGGGATGTGAACGAATGGACGGCGTTGCCCCGTCTGAGGTTAGCTATGCGCAGTGGCGTAGTTAGGGGGGGGGGGTCCAAAGGGGGCCATGACCCCCCTGTTGATCTAAAAGTAAAAATAAAAAATAAAAATATAAGAATTGCTCTACTAAAAAGAGAATTGTCGTAGTCAGAATGAAAGTAGCCCGACCAGGCTGTGCGACGGATTGTCTATACAACGGTCTATACTACGGTATTCTAACCCTAGCAATACCGTTTCTTGGAGCTAGAATGAAAGCTGTACATGTACTCAAAAGTGCCTCAAATACCATCTCCTGCGATCTACATTTTTTTTTTATTCTGGGGAAGGACCCCCAACCCCTGCCTGTTTTCACCCCCTGCTTTTATATATCTTGGTAGCAGAGAACAACGAACAAAAATGTCGCTTTTATGCATAGCGCCAAAAACAAAGATTGCAGAGCTGCGAGGTGGGGGAGCGTAGGGTGTGGTAAGGGAGGCGGAGGAACCATTAAAAGTCATCCACTTTTGCGCAGTTTGCTGTTTTTGCCCCCCCTGTTAAAAAATCCTAGCTACGCCACTGGCGATGCGTGGAAGTTGTGAGCGATTACGATCCGATCAAAGTATGTTCCGCTTACTGTAGCATTACGTACTTGAATAAGAGATAGTCTTACCGTAAATGATCAATTAGTCTCGCGTTAATGTACAATAAGAAGTAGGCGCTTCTAATGTTGTGACGAATTGCGCTAACCCTTAAACATCGCGCTGATGTGTCTTCTATTACAATCTCGATGGTAGCACCACAATGTTAAACGTTAAAAACACATTGGTAGGCGCTTCTACTATAATGCAACTTTCTTCTAACTCTGACTATTTTCGCCTTTCTTCGTTGGCGAAAATACATAGTCGAGTGTTTCTCCTACATTGTGAACAACCTCATGGATTGTGCATAGGTAAAAAGCACGGGGGTTTAGAAATTTCTAATACCTACATCTTCACTCATCAGAACTATTCGGACTGCGCGTGTGTTGGAGGTGACGGCACGGCGACGCACGGCACGTGTGATATCGGCTGCTCTTACCTGACACACTACCTCGTCGTTCTCGCCATTAGCAGCTTCGTCTCCGCGCCCACAAAGATCGCTAGCATAACTGTCAAACTGAGGTATGCTCTCAGCCCCGGACCCGAAGTAAAAAATAATAATTTTTTCGTTGTTTTATTATTCAATCCAGATTAGATGTTCAGTTGCTATATCTTTGCTTCAACGTGCAACAGCGGCCACTTGTAGCGAGTGATAACCGTTTTTGTGCTAGATGCTTGCCATTTGATCCGGAGTGTGTAATATAGAGATAACTCAGATAATTTATTCTATATTATGCACGCAGTCCTGATTTCATCTTGTACGCGGACCCGGTCATCCACTATCCCATAATTAAAACCCTGAACTCGTCAACGGAAATACCCTGCATCATCTGCCTACACAGATATCTAGTTAGAATTCTCCTCGTATCATGCAAAGTCGTCATTATTTGCGCGAATAATCGTATTAAAATTACTTTTTACAGAGTCGTGGATAAAGATTTAAAGTCATTGGCTTTAGGGTTCACGACATTTTGCTTGAGCCTTTTCGGTAATTATTTATAATAATACTTTTATTCTATGACAGATCTAAGACATGAACAGACACGCGTGCCCACGCACGCACGCGCGCACTGCATATATTTATACCGTTTTCTATTTCTAGTCTTCATACCGGGGCCAGTCATTAGTGGCTCCGCCATCGACACCGCCTGCATCCTGTGGCAGGTTGACGGCTGCGGTAAGACCGGATCCTGCTGGAAGCATGATAACGACAAGTTCCGCTACATTCTACATGGCATCGCTCTCGGTGTAAAGTGCGTCGCCACCTGCTTCTACACAGTCGCCTACGTCACATGCAAAGGAAGCCATGCTGGCGACGTAAATGCGTACGAGACTAAACGAAATGATCCGCGCGCCAAAGAGGAGATACTCGACATAGGCTACGCAATAGGAAAGGGCGCGGATGCGGAACTTGTCACGTTGCCCATTATATAGGCAAATGTATTAAATATATAAAATTTATTAAATATATTAAAAAAATTTTCCCCGAGCTTTCACCCCGACTATTCATCGTGTTAATTCATTGCACACTAGTTCCATAGTTTATTTTTTGGCCCATGATATTTGAGTTTTGATGGACAATTCTTTTCTTATTTAAATTTGCAACATTATGCACACACACACACACACACACACACACACACACACACACACACACACACACGACACACACNTAGATATACAAGCGAGCGTACGGTTGTACATGTACAAGCGAGCGTATGTGTGTACATGTACAAGCGGGCGTGCGTGTGTACATATACAAGCGAGCGTGCGTGTGTACATGTACAAGCGGGCGTGCGCGTGTACATGTAGATATACAAGCGAGCGTGTGTACATGTAGATATACAAGCGAGCGTACGGTTGTACATGTACAAGCGAACGTATGTGTATACATGTACAAGCGGGCGTGCGTGTGTACATGTACAAGCGAGCGGGCGTGTGCACATGTAGATATAGACGTGGTAACACCCCAGTTGGCCTACTCCCATTTCGCATACGCACATTTCGCCTATGTCCCTTTTAGCCTACTACCATTTCGTCTGCTCTCCGAATAAGTAATATAATAGTGTCAAGTTGTGTTTCCATTATTTGTACCTATGTTCTCTTCTGGTTCCCGTAGTCTATGTATGCCAATCAAAACTACATTTTATTATTTATAAATGATTATTTTAGTGAACAAACCGATCGTAGACGAAATGGAATGGGATAGATTTTGAGCGTAGGACGAATTACGAAGTAGGCCAACTGGGAATTTTGCTGTAGGGAAATGGGAACTTTGCCGTATGCGAAATGGGGGTGATACTCCATTAGGAGTGTTCCCAACTTTAATGATATATATATATATATATATGGTCATGGTCATATATTAGTTTGTGGTTTAATGTCATTTAGGTTAGGGTTAGGGTTAGGGTTAGGGTTAGGATTATCAATCATTAATTATTAATGATATCAAAGTTGGAAACACTCCTAATGAAGCGTTAGCCTGCATCTAAAACAAATACGACATATATACGCATATAGAGGGTTCCGCGACTTGCACTAAAAATAGCAATATTACCTACAATCCCGTGCCGCCGGCCATACCGGTTCCAAAAAGAGCGAACATGTGTTACCGATATACGCAATCTACCGATTTTACATCGATAGATTGTACATACAATAGTGTTATTATAGTAATCTATAATATTAGCAGTAAGTGGATCGCGGGTTTGCAGACAGGTTTATTAGCGTGGGTTGTGATGCTATGAGAGTTCGATGAGGTTGCCGCACAGTCGGCGGATTGCTAGATTGAGCAGATCGGGAGATTGCACGCAACACATATCATCAACATGGACTTGAGTTTGTTTACATCGCGAGTGTTCAGAAATTTCACCGATTTTACTGCATGTATAGCTATCAAACGCAGCATGGACAAGTACTTTGATTCACTAGACAACGTAGCCAAAGCACGCTATCTCGAGAAAATTGTGTTCATTGGGAATCGACACCCGTACGAGAATGGAGCGAGGACCACAACTTGTGCCAATCACGTACTTATTAGGATCTTGAAAATTGTTTACCTAACATTCTAGCCTAGTCCATTTTATACTCTCAGAACCACACAAGCCTGGATGCCTACGATCGACTGTTCTGCGGTTGGGTTAGTGGTGTATCAGTCTGCATCTATCATGTGAACAGTGAGAGTCCCATCTACGTTATCCGACCACGTGTTATGCACTCCCAGTCTCTGATTATACCATCTCTCTATCCGTGCATGGGTCACGATGAGATAAATGGGACAGGCATCATGTCAGCACACTGTAATTGTAAAGCCGGTGTCGCATTGAGAAAGATGACCCTATCGAAAAGGTTGGTCCACGTTGTTTTCAGCGCGTGGCAGGCTGGTAGGCGTGGCCAGAAATCACTGAAGCGTATACCAACTGACCAACCGTGTTCAAGCAGGTGTGATCAATGAAGCGTGTACCAACCTTTTCGATAGCTCGCGCGCGTACACACAGCTATCGAATAAGGCAGCCAGTACTCACTAGTATAGCGCTGGCCAACCTTTTCGTTAGCTCGCGCGCGTACACAGCTATCGAATAAGGCAGCCAGTACTCACTAGTATAGCGCTGGCCAATCTTTTCGATAGCTCGCGCGCGTACACACAGCTATCGAATAAGGCAGTCAGTACTCACTAGTATAGCGCGGGAGCAGTATACTAGCAGTATACTACGGAGCAGGTGTCGCATTTGTATTGTTGTAGGTTTTCCCGATTACTGGCTGAAACACAATCCCCATGAAACTTTTCATGACAAAAATCACATTGTATCATTACTTGGCCAGGCGTATCCGGTAACCTACAGGTGCAAAACACTGGAGTGGACCATGTATGCCGTACTTGTTTTTGGACGCGTCTTTTACGATAAATAGGAAACATTTCCATTTTTCTATCTCTGAAACATGCCACCAAATGGGATCTCATCATTTGTTGATTCCACTGTATGGTACTGGGCTCTATAGAGTTACAAAGGGCAACCATAGAAGCAATTGCATATACTCCACAATCACTGCCTCCAACCTGCCGATGCATTTCGACCAACTCTATAACAACATTAGAATGCTCTGTTTTGAGAAGGGATGCAACCTGAAGTAATAGGTTACTATAGGGATTTAAGCCTGGCAAACTGTCATAAAGTCTAACCGTATTACTTCGACTTGTAAATAGGTTCGAAACTACCACCCAATGATTCCCATTAACAAACAGGGGCTGAATGAATTTCATAGATTGGGACATTAATTGTACTACCTTTTGCACAGACATGAAACCTTGAAGTGAAGGATAATTATCGCGCAATAATCCTGAAGCAAAATTTATGTGCATGTCATCCAACCAATGACCGTTGCTTATTTTATTGAAATCCGCTTCTCTCAACTTAATATTAGATATGTTAAACGTCGGTTTAGATCCCGACGTGATTACTGATACCACCTCAATGGAATCACCACTGTCGTCATGTAAGTTCTGTTGTTTTGGAAGATTATAATCATGCGTTCGGAGTGCGATGTCGGCCAACATATCCAAACCATTACACGTAACTATATCATCGAGAGCAGAGGGATGGCAAGCATCTTGGTCACGACATGAATTTCCCCTATATGGTTTGAGATGCACCAAAGAACGATCATCTTTTTCCACGGCTGCCTTTTCTAATGGCACACCGGGCTTGGTAAATTCTGTTCACATGTTGCCTCGGTGCTATTTTATGTAGAGTATGCTGCACGTGCAAGAGAAATCACCACCCCACTCAAACAGCTGCCTACTGGGTGCCGACGATATATGTATTATACGTGTATATGTGCGGCGGCGTGCGTACGGTGTAGCTGTGTGTTGCAGAGGAACATTTGATCGGCATTTACAGGTAATTATCGGCAATACTAGGCGAAAGAGAGTAGAGAAACATTGGTAGTAAATTGGTAGTGGTAACCAATGTACCACTACCAATGTACCACTACCAATGTCCACTACCAATGTACCAATGTACTACCAATGTACTACCAATGCCAATGTACTACCAATGTACCACTACCAATGTCCACTACCAATGTTACATTGGTAGTACATTGGTAGTGGTACATTGGTAGTACATTGGTATACTACCAATGTACCACTACCAATGTACTACCAATGTACCAATGTACTACCAATGTACCACTACCAATGTACTACCAATGTACCAATGTACTACCAATGTACCAATGTACCACTACCAATGTACCACTACCAATGTACCACTACCAATGTCCACTACCAATGTACCAATGTACTACCAATGTCCACTACCAATGTACCAATGTACTACCAATGTACCACTACCAATGCCAATGTACTACCAATGTACCACTACCAATGTCCACTACCAATGTTTAGTACATTGGTACATTGGTAGTGGTACATTGGTAGTGGTACATTGGTAGTGGTACATTGGTAGTACATTGGTACATTGGTAGTGGTACATTGGTAGTACATTGGTACATTGGTAGTGGTACATTGGTAGTGGTACATTGGTAGTGGACATTGGTAGTAAATACATTTCGTGTTTATTCAGCATTGCTTTTTTATTGAAAATGCTCCAAGCGTCTGTGGTCCGTCTTGTCTCTCGTCACTTTATCTTGTGTTTTGACCACGCTAGGCTATCACAAAGAGGAGGAGGTATCCGCTCCCCTTCTCCCTTTCCTCCTTCCTCGCGCGGAGGGAGAGGGAAGGAGGAGGGAGCGGTTACTCTTCCTCTTCCCACCTTCCTAGCGCGCGGGGAAGGAGAGGAGGGAGGGGTTCCCCTTCTCACCCTTCTCCCTCTCNGACTTTGTCGTTTGTCGTTACGGTCGGTCGCTGTCGCTGTAGTGTGTCTTGGCCTTAGGCGGGAGGTTGTACATATTCAACTCGAATTAAAATCAAATTTGCTGAAATTCTACAAATAGCCCATCTATAAATAATATATAAGTAATTAAGGGATGTTGTCATACTTATATGCACAACATTGCCATACAAAATCGTCAACTAAATAATGAACACAATTCGATTTATTGAACTGTTTATAGGTGAAATTACCAGTCATCTCTAGTAGTTCTGTTATAGCTATATGCTGTTTCTTTCGCAACTTGATTCCGATATTCTGCAGACTGTATGTCATACATACATGGATTCTCTGACCATAAAGTGGCCAAATCATTCTCCTTCTGCGTAGTCCACACTTCTACCATGTACGCTGCCATTTTCTACATCATGTGACTGCTTTACTAAAATTGATTGGCTGCTGAAAGAAATCGCGCGCGAACATGTGGACACAATAGCGTATTTGTACGCACGCGATGAAAAACCGGGCGGAAATATTCAACATGTTCAATACGAGCGATGCGCCGGGCGTATGGGATCGCGAGCGAAATACGCTGTCGTGAGACCGGACACACCGCGTTCAAGCAGGTGTGATCAATGAAGTATTTTCGATAGCTCGCGCGCGTACACACAGCTATCGAATAAGGCAGCCGATCGAATAAGGCTATCGAATAAGGCATCGAATAAGGCTATCGAATAAGGCAGCCAATACTTACTAGTATTAAGGTATAGGGTTGACCAACCTTTTCGATTGCTCGCGCACGTACACACAGCTATCGAATAAGGCAGCCAATACTTACTAGTATTAAGGTATAGGGTTGACCAACCTTTTCGATTGCTCGCGCACGTACACACAGCTATCGAATAAGGCAGCCAATACTCACTAGGATTAATGTATAGGGTTGACCAACCTTTTTGATAGCTCGCGCGCGTACATACAGCTATAGAATAAGGCAGCCAATACTCATAGGATTAAAGTATAGGGTTGACCAACCTTTTTGATAGCTCGCGCGCGTACATACAGCTATAGAATAAGGCAGCCAATACTCATAGGATTAAAGTATAGGGTTGACCAACCTTTTTGATAGCTCGCGCGCGTACACACAGCTATAGAATAAGGCAGCCAATACTCATAGGATTAAAGTATAGGGTTGACCAACCTTTTTGATAGCGCGCGCGCGTACACACAGCTATCGAATAAGGCAACCAATACTCACTAGTATTAACTGCCATTAAGGTATAGGGTTGACCAACCTTTTCGATAGCTCGCGCGCGTACAT